CCGCCCCATAGCAGGGACATAATTTCTTAACCGGTCTTTCCTAGTCTCTTAAGCATTGCCCTCAAAAAAGAGGTTAGAAAGTTACCTTTCCATGTCACAAATAAAAACTTAGATTGATAGTTGGAATTAAAAGATGATTGAGTGTCCAGTGGGTAGCCTTGAATGATCTTGGTCAGCCGTCAGTAGGGCCTGTTTGCAGTGGCTGTCCCTTCCAGTGATAGAGGGATCATTCATTTAATAAGTTATTCCCGAGCACCCACTGGCCAGGCCATATGTTGCAGACATGGCCACTCACCTGCATGTGGAGCTTGTGTGCCTGGCTTGGCAGTAATTGGGACACCAAAGGTCCTGCATGTTACTATAAACCAGGGCCACCAGAATGCCATCTCTCTCTCTCTGTCTCTCTCTCTCTCTCTCGCTCCCTCTCCCTCTCTCTCTCTCTCTCCCTCTCTCTCTCTCCCTCCCTCCTGCCCCCCCCCCCCCTCCCTTTTCCTAAATCAATTTTTAAAAAGATGAACTGAGTTAATATAAAGTGCTTAGAACACTGGCTGGCACAGGGTTTGCTCCTGATTATTAGGATTTTGTCACCATCTTATTTGGGCTGCTATAACAAAATACAGACTGGGTGGCTTAAACAACAGAAATGTGTTTCTCACAGCTCTGGAGCCTGGGAAGTCTGAGGTCAGGGTGCCAGCATGGTCAGGGCCTGGTGGGGCTTCTCTGCTTGGCTTGCTGGTGGCTGTGTTCTTGCTTCATGCTCACATAATGGTGAGAGAGCACGCTCTCTTTAGTCTCTCATGAGGGCACTACTCCCATTATGGGGCTCCACCCTCATGGCCTCATCGAACCTAATCACCTGCCAAAGGCTCCACCTCCCAATACATCACATTGGGGTTAGGGTTTCCACCTACATTTTGGAGCGACACAAGCATTCAGTCCATAACAATTACCATCCCATTCCCTCAAATGATGGTGTCTTAAGGGTACAAACTAGACAACAGTCGGTTGAAATTCTCTCATGGCCTTGCAACAAAGCAAAACAGCTCTAGAGATTGTGGCATAAAGGAAGTCCAGGCAGTCCCTACCTGCTCTGTCCATGAGAAGTTCTGCAAACACATGGGAAAGCGCTCCTGTTTATGTTTGAATGAGAGAGCTAGGACATGCCAGATCAGAGCGGTGTCTGCAGGTTTCTAGCCCGTTGGTTCGTGCACACAACATTTACCCAGCTCCTCTCATGCACAGGGCCTTGTACAATGTACTGTGAAAGTGAAATGTCCAAGGGAGGTTGCTTCTAGGTGCTCAGGGATAAGCAAATTCAGGTTAAGGGAGAGATGAAAGAAGCACTTCATAACCAGTTTTTTTTGTGTCAGTGGAATGTTCTGAAGTCTGAGGGTTGTTTCAGTTGATAGCGTGTCCTGTGAATGGGATGTGCAAGGTTTGGTTGGGAGGTAGTCCCAGATTAAAATTCCCATGAGGAGGAGCGATATTAAGCTTCTTGGGGATTAGAAAGTCAGCTAATCCGACTAGTTTTCAGAATCGATTGAGGATTTTTCCCTGTGAACAATTGGACAAAATAGCTCCTTTGGTTTTTCTTCTCTGTACTACGAGGCAAAGAAGGAAAACTAAAATTGTCATGGAGTTGCTGAGGCTTAAAGGATCCCTACTACTCTGATTATACCTCTCTTTGTTTTCAACAGCCAAGCAAGTTGAATATCTGGTCAGTGAAAAGCACATCTATCTGCTGCCAAGTGGTCGGATCAACATGTGTGGCTTAACCACCAAAAACCTAGATTATGTGGCCACCTCCATCCATGAAGCAGTCACCAAAATCAAGTAAAGAGGTACCACTGAAACCAGCACCACCAAAGCGGCCCTCTGTCGAGTGTGTTCCCTGCCTGCACAAGTCTAGTTGTATACATCATGGATCAGACTATTGCAAGACCAAAAGGCTGCTCTGGTGAGGTTGGCCCCACTTGAAGAGAACATCTCTTGAAAAGAGATGCGGGCCAAGTTAGAGCCTTTCTGAAGGCCAGAGCAAATTAAGCTTTCTGTTTAAGAAGAATAAAATGGTACTTTGATCATGAGCTGTAGATATCTTGCTCCCTTGCTAGAAGCCAGTGTCTTGCCCGTGTCACTTGTGTGCTTCTATGTGTTGCTTGACTCTGTACAAAGTCTAGTCCCAAAGATCAAGTTATCTGAAGAGCCATATGTAATTGTGGGTGTTGGCTGTCAGTAAAACGCATCACCTCTACCCAGAGTGTCTGTGTCCCTGCTCTTTCTGCATGGTTGTGTCCCTAGCCCTAAGCTTTAGTTCTTTCGGGCAGCCAAGGTACAAAATATATTTACATCACATGCACACAGTTAACTAAAAGTTTCACAAAACAGTATATACTCTTGCTACATGCAGTGCATTCTGATATTTTCTAGTCCATTCTATTCTTTTATGTTCCATTTCACTAAAGAAATAAAAGTGCTGATTGAGACTCTATGTAATTGATTTTGTATCCACCAATAGGTTGTAACCCATGGCTTAAAATGAATGCTATAGCCCTGGCCGGTTTGGCTCTCAGGTTAGAGTGTCGGCCTGGGGACTGAAGGGTCCCAGGTTCGATGCCGGTCAAGGGCATGTACCTTGGTTGCAGGCATATCCCCAGTGGGGGGTGTGCAGGAGGCAGCTGATCAATACTTCTCTCTCATCGATGTTTCTAACTTTCTATCCCTCTCCCTTCCTCTCTGTAAAGAAATCAATAAAATATATATAAAAAAAGAATGCTATAGTGCCCTAGCTAGTTTGGCTCAGTGGATAGTGGGTTTTCTTGCGGACTGAATGGTCCCGGGTTCGATTCAGGTCACGGACACATGCCCAGTTGTGGGCTTGATCCCCAGTAGAGGGCATGCAGGAGGTAGTCAATGATTCTCTCTCATCAATGTTTCTCTCCCTCTTTCTTTCTGAAATCAATAAAAATATATATTTAAAAAAAGAATGCTATAGAGGGATGTACTAGTTGCTAAAGAAAACCTAATGTGTTCTTGTAACAGGCTTACCATTGGTGAAGGCTTTGCACCCCACCTCTTTGCCAGTTTTCTGGACTTGTCCTTCAGAGGCCAGCTGTCTTATATCACTTAAGACCTTGGACTTCATGGATTCCTAGAAGGGTTGACATCACTCAGGGTGATTCTAGATCACAGCCCTGCCCAATGCAGTGGAGCACCTCCTAGTCAATTAGAGCCACTTGAACATAGATCACATTTTCCAGAGAGTCCAAGGAACTCTCCCCATACAGTTCTGTAGAATTGGAGTCTTGAGTTTGAAAATATTGAAAGATAATTCTAGTTATTTTAACAGGATCTTCCCCTTTCTAACGTGCTTTTGAGTTATTATAAAATCCTAGTCTTGAGGGCTGATTGGTGTCTTAGAAGTCATTAACTCCAGCCTCTCTCAGAGCTATAGTCTCTGCCATATTGTCCCTGACCTGTTCATTTTGGGGTGGGGGCGGGGCGGCGGGCGGGAGAGGGGCAGAGGTTTTCCCTACTTGGTAAAGCATCCCATTCTGTTGATGGAGCACCTTACAGAGGTCATTTACCTTGATTCAGATTTTGGTCGTTGTCTGTCCTACTCCCCTGGTTCCCTTACTCGCTGCCTTTAAACCACAGATACCAAGTCCACTGGCACTTCTAATTGATGACCTTACAAATATTTGAAGTAGCAGTTGTTATTCCTAGTTTTTGCTTTTCCATGTGAAGCTCCTTCCTTCCCCCCACCCCAACTCTTTGTGTTCCTCCCAAGAAAGATCTTGAGCTTGGAAGGCACCCACCAGTGCCTCATGCATCACATGGGTTCCACAAATAATTAGTGTCTTCCTGCTTCTTTCTTGTTCTCAGTCACACTCTAGCTTCTCATTTGAGTTTTATTTCCACTTCTGGCATTTGTTTCTGCAAAAGCTTACCTATCTGTCTTCCCAAAGTACAGCACTGGAGCCTTCCTGTAACCTTGACCGCAGCCTCACACCTGGCCTTCAGAGCCAAGCCTCTTCAGGCAGGTGGGCCCCGTGAGATAATCACAGGTGAGCTCCACCCAACCTGCATCTCAAATGAAAACACTTCAGAACTCCCAGATTCAGGGCAAGGAAACCAGTCACATTCCAGGAGAGCATTTTCATTTTATTGAAAAATTATTTACAATTCATTAAGTCTTCATAAATGCTTTATTTTAAAATTAAAGTCTTTTTTTTTTTAACTTTTTGTAACCTGAAGAAAATTGGGGAGAGTGGGGTTGGGGAATGGGAATGAGAGTGGTTACAGGCTCCTTAGGGATTCTGCAAAGGGATGGAGGTAACACAACAGCAGTGGCCTGAGCCCTGTGGCCTAAGTGGTAATGCAAGAAGACTGCATAACAGTTCTTACTTGAAACTCAGTCCCCTGGTTTGGGTCTGAGGCACCCAGCACAGGGCGGGGTGAGGGGGTGACACTTTGCTATTCCTACCAGGCAAGAGTAGGTGTTGGGGGCAGGTGGTAGCCTTGGAACTATCTAGAAGTCATGCACTACTGAGCCTCAGGCAGAGCCAGGCAAAGGATGTGAAGTCAGTAATACATTGCTAATACGCTGCTGGAAAAGGCATCACCAGCTGGAAAGTCTTCCACACGCCGTGGCCTTCCTGTCTGCAACACCTGCTCCGGTTCGGAGGGGGAGAGGGGATGAGGTTATGTGGGGTGTAGGCTGTACAACAGCCTAGGTTGTGCCAAGAATTTCCGAGGAATTCCACTTCTCGGTGGGTGCCAGCTCCCCCCATCAATTTCAAGGACACTTGCGAAGACCACTTACAATTAAAAATCTGTCTCAGACTGCCAGTGCTCACTTCACTCTGCATTGCAGAAACTTTGGGCTGAAAGCTCCACTTTCCGTTAAAGTAGGTTTTAACCCTTTGTGGATCCAGGACCTTTGAGGATCTATGAAAGCTTTAGCCCTCTGGAAAACAGGCATAAGAACACAGACACTAAATTCCTAGTGTTAGGGGTTTCATAGACCCTATGAAGTCCAACAATGGACCCCCTGGAGTGATGGACCCCCCAAGTTAAGAACCCCTGAGTTAAAGGTTCCTATGGATAAGCTGCAAATAACCCAGAGGAACCATCATGTGATTACTAATTGAATGGGTGTGGGGCAAGAGGAGTAATGGTTGTGGAGGAAGGGGAGGTAAGCCTGGTGCCCCACCCCAGGGAAAAGTTAGGGAATGGTTTGGAGATTCAGCAGGCAGCACTGGATCAGGGCGATAGATCAGAAAGGGACTTGGGGTCCCAAAGACCTTCACTTCCACATTTTCCCTAAGGCTGGCTCTGTGTCCCGATCAGAACTTTTTTTTTCACGTAGGTACGTGCAGTCATCCTGCCATCTGATGGTTATGCTTGGAATTGCATCTGCCCCCACATCCAAGTGAAATGGCAGAAATTTAGTATGTTCTTGGAATAAAGTACACATGGCTAACTTGCTGGGGGTGCAGTAAGGGGGAGGAGTGGGGGGAGTGGATGAGAAAGAGGAGTACTCTTCAATGTTCCCGTGTAATGCACACTGAAGTCCCATGAGAGCTTGCATCCGTCTTGGCTGACGTGGGCACTCTTTGGTTTGTCATGGCTAAACTTGCTTCAACAGCTTAGAATTTTTCCATATACACACACATGTATATGGGAAAATACATATTTGCTTTGATTTGAACTTAAAACCTGAAGCTCCATCTCTGGCTCCCAATTGGGTCTCTCTGTTCCCGGTCCCTCCTCTTCCAGAGCAGATTTACTGATGGATTGGTAACTGCCGATTGGGAGCCAAAGCAGATGTGTCCCTGGGAAAATCAGTGACTTGAGGTTCCATCTGGCATTCTTTCCACTCCAGCTGAGACCCAGTTCCCAGGCTGCTGGAGCCCTTACCTAACAGGAAACTGGTCACCAACAGTTTTCTGTATTGTCATGTCACGCCCACATGGCTGAGTCCAGCTGCCCTGAAGTTCTGGAGGAATTCTTGGTGCATCTTCTGAACACACCGTCACGCTTGCTGCTCCAGCCTCCGCTGTGCCTGTCAGCGGCACCTTCTGAGCTAAGCTACGCATGAAATATGGCATCAGGGGAATCTCGTAGAACAAAAAGGGCATTAGGGGTCCCAGAGTGGTATTGTCAGCCTGGAGTCATGTCTTCTCCAGTCCCAGGCTGTGCTGTGGACGAGGCCATTTCTAGCATGTTCCACTCGAGGCACCTCCTTCCATCTTGGCCACTGCAGGCTCTGAGTCCAACTGGAGGCGATGAGGGAAAGTCTGCTAAACTGACAGGGGTGAAGAGGTGGTGAGGGAAGCAGAACGCTCTGTCACCTGTGGGAGGCCTTGGGGAGAAGCAGATGACAGGAGGGTGGGTTCTCCCCCAAAGCTCTGGAATGTCACACACCCAGCAAAAGTTGTCTGCCCATCATGTGATGAGAGGTGTTAAATTGGAGTTCTCCTCAGAGGCTCTCTCTCCATCGGGTGACCTCTTCCTTTTTCGACCACCTGAAAAACACAGTTTGTAAGGATCCATCTGTAGGACTCAGAGGACATTCATACTCTCTTGGTGGTCTAAGCTCTCTTCAAAATAGAAGCAGAAATGGAGACAGTTTGGCAGGAAGCAATCTGCATTGTCACCTGCTGCTGCTATCAGCATATTTACATTTTTCAAAAAATATATTTTTTTTGATTTCAGAGATGAAGGAAGAGAGAGAGAGAAATATCAATGATGAGAGAATCATTGATTGGCTGCCTCCTGCAAGCCCCACACTAGGGATCGGGCCCACAACCCAGGCATATGTCCTGACCAAGAATCGAACCGTGACCTCCTGTCCTGGTTCATAGGTCAACCATTGAGCCACACCAGCCAGGCAGCATATTTACATCTTGAAGGACTAGGATTCACCTTTCCCCTGAGATGACAGCTCTACAAAGCCACAGACCCAGGCTAGTGCCAATGGAATGGAGATTTCCTGGAGGGAACCGAGTAAGGCCCATGTAATACCTCGGGATCATGCCTTTCCCATCCTCTGATCCCCAATTATCAAGGATGCAAAACAGCCCAGGGCCTATGATGGATTCCCCTGACTGTACCTCATTAGGGTTCCCCAAAGGAGTCACTGGTTCCTCCTCCATGAGGAAGAGCCTAACATGCTTTTTCTACTACCCAGCTGGTAGGTGGCTTTCGTCTGGGTGAGGAGATACTCACTCAAGGTTCTCAGCAGCCTCTTGCCCATGGTTTCCTCAAAGTCACTACTGCAGGGACTGGTCTCTGTGTCCAGGTTGATGTTACAACATTCACTATCCGATGCTGAAAGGAAAGAAGAAAGAACACAACCGTTTCCAACGTGCACACCCAGGGACCGAGGTGGGATGATTCTGGCTGACATTTCTTAGCAGGTGAGAGTGTAGCACCAGTGCTAAGGCAGCAGTGGCTCCAACAAGGGAGGGATGCCCAGGGAGCCTTTAGCAAGGGGCACTTTAGTGCCACAAAAGGAACAAAGAGAGAACAAGAATTAACTACTCAAACCCTGTTTGGCAGGAGAGAGAAGGGAACAAGATGTTCTCAGCATTTTTTGCCAGACAAAAAGCAGGACAGGTGGTGATGTGTCCTTCCTCTATTTGTACAGATCCTGGAAAACCACAGGGCTCAATAACAATTAAGCACGTGCCAGGTCTTCTCCCACTGAACCCAGTGAGAATTCAAAAGCCCTAGAATCTCAGAGCCAGGAAGGAGCCCAGCTCTTAGTGCCAATGCAGGAAGAACCTAACCTGGAGGACAAAATGATGGAAATGGCACCGCACCCGAAGCCAGGAGGCTGAGTCCGTTTCTAATGCAGCATACCGATGGGGCAAGTCACCTCCCTTCTCCAGGTCTCAGGGTCCTCATGTGCCATAGAGGACGATGGGTTAGATAATCTCCAAAGCCTATCCCAACTCCTCCATTCTTATTCTTTTGATACAATTTCTCGGTACATGTTTTAGCTACTAAATTCAGTGTGGGTGGGAGAAAAAGAGCATCAGTCCTAAATTTAGGTCCTAGAATAGTAATTATGTATGTCCCAGATTTTCTGCGTTAGCTACAAGTTCAAACATATCTCAGGCAAGCATATCTTAGGCAAGAACAGAAGGACCTTAGGACTGCTGGGACGCTGGGAGCTCGGAGCAACACCACCATCAAGACAGAGGCCTGCAGTGTCTCAGAGGGAGGTGATACGGTCTCAGACTTCAGGACAGCTCCTACAGATTACATCTGGTCCCTGGGCCTCAAAGGAAGGGAAGAGCCCTGCCAATGAGAGTGACGGCTGACTTCAATGTCCTAATCTGTAAAGTAGCCCTAACAATAACTGTGCACTATTTAGAGATCATGGCACCAAGCACTGGAAGGTACCCTCTGTATGTGTTAGCTCATCGACGCTCAAAGCTACTTTATGAGCTGGTTACTGCGATTTGTATCTATTAACATAAGGAAATGTACCTTTTAAGACAAGGAAACCGAATCTTCAGATAAAGTAACTTGCCCCAAATTGCATAGCTCCTAAGTCAGTGGTTCTCAACCTTGGCTGCACATTAGAATCACCTGGGAATTTTTAAAATCCTGATTTCTGGGCCTCATCCTCTGCAAATTCTGTTACTTTGTTACTAATGATGAGGCCCAGAAATTAGGATTTTAAAGATTCCCAGGTGATTCTAATGTGCAGCCAAGGTTGAGAACCACTGTCCTAAGTGAAGGAGCCAGGCTCTGAACCCAGGTGGAAGCCTAGTTCCAAACACACTGTCTTCCAGGGTCTGATGCACGGTAGCTGCCCAGTAGACGTTAGGAGGCGTAAGGAGGCGGGACATTTTACACGGGGGCTGGGATCCCAGGCTCCCCTCACCCAGTGCCCTGTGGTGAAGACCCCCCTGGCTCCTGGGGCCCAGTTTCCCTCCCGGACCTGCTCTTGTGGGAATGGCTGCAGGAGACACTGAGAGCTGCTGTGTGCTGTGCTCCTGGAAGTCTGTCATATCCTCCTGGGGGAAGCCCATCTCCTCCATCCTCAGGTACACGACCTCGCCGGGGCTTCTCAGCCCATCGGAGCGGCTGCCTGGGGGGAACAGTACGTGTGTCACCTCTCTGCTTTGGAGAAGACCAGGGCTCCATGAGGACAAGATGGCAGCTCGGGACAGCCATGAGGAGGAAGGCAGGGCTGTCCTCACCTCAAGGCAGCCCGGCCCACCCGCCTGACTGACTTACATGGCAGGCTGTTCCTGTTGTTTAGGATGACAGCAGCGTCATCCTTGGGGCTCTGGGGTGTGCCCCGGGTCGTGGGGGCCTTGGTGGAGTCTCCGTCAGTGAAGGCCTCCATGTCGGGGGACTGGGGTGAGTTGTCCATGTGGCAGGCGGTGAGCGCATTCTGGTACTGCTGCCGTGTGATCTGGGAGGAAGAGGCAGAGAGGGGCAGAAGCTCAGGAGACACTGGGCAGAGCATTCCATAGATGTGGCCCAAGCTCAGACGCAGCCTCACCTGGGTGCTTTGGAACCCAGGCCTCCGTGACCTGGGATCCATGAACTAGGGGCCTTACCCAAGCTGTACCAGGCAAGGAGTTGAAGACAATGAGAGGACCCTTTGTTTGTTTGCCACCAGAGTTCTCACTGTCATTTTTATTTGCTCTGGACTCTTGTTTTATCTTTTATTTTTTTAAATTTAAATTCTTTATTGTTTAAAGTATTAAATATGTCTCCTCCCCCG